CCCCCGCCGCAGGGAGTGGGCCCTGCTGCCCTAGCTCTCCCCGTGGAGGGAGAGCTCACGCCCCAGAGCAACCTTTGCCCATGGCCAGGAAGGAGGGGCTGCAGAAAATCCTCTCCTCTCCGCCTCCCTTGAATGCCTGCTCTGAAGCTTTCCTATTTTCCGTTTTTTTTTTTTTTTTTTTTTTGGAGGGGTTTTTTTTTTAGGGCGTGTGGGTTTTTTTTTGGAGAGGTTTTTGCTATAGGGCCTGTGTGCTCACCAGACAGACAGAGGAGACAGAGAGACAGAAAGCGAGAAATCATCCCCCAGAGGGGATGGTCACGCCGCAATCCCTTCTCCTCCGTTCTCCTCTTGGGATCTTGGGCATGCACGCACACGTGACCGGCATGAGTTTTAAGCCACTGGGTCTGGGATGCGAACCGCGGTCAACTACATGGGAGCCCAACGACATAGCCATTATGCTAACTGCTGGTCCCTCCTGTTTTTGCTTTTAAGTTTATTCACTTCTGCCATGAGCAAAAAGCAGAGAGACAGGCACTCCCACCAATTCCCCGACAGCACGATTCCCCGCGGCCTCTTACTGCCCTGGGTCAGGGCACACGACTGGCATGCCAGCGAGGTCTCCACGTGTGAACCAGAGCCTGTGGCACCCCTGCTCCCCACCTGTTCAGATGGCCTTTCCATGGGGCCCTCGGGGCTGAGCCACAGCTGGGTGTCCTTGTGGGGCAGGGCATGGTCTCAGTGAGGTGGCGGCTGGCCCGGGCTCTCCAGGCTGCTCTTCCTCACCTCCCTTGTGCTGGGGGGCTGCACCTTCCAGTAAAGTGAACACTGAGCCTCGCTCCGCACTCTGCTTTCAAGAGAGCAAACTACACGTCCCGACGGGCCCAGGGCCCGGCTACCAGAGTACGAGGCGGGCGGCAGCGAGTGCACAGGCCCTGAGGCAGGACTGTGCAATGCTGTTTGAGGATGGGCAAGGCTGGAGCAGAGTGGCCGAGGGCAGGAGGTGAAGTGACTTGAGAGCGACAGCAGGGCCAGATCGTGGTGCGCCTGGCAGGACTGTGCAGGGGCAGGGCCCGGGCTTTGTGCTGAGTGGGCGATGGCTGCCCGGCCTGTGCGGAAACACGGGTGGGGGGTGGAAGCGAGGAGGCCTCGTGGGGCTCTGTGGCCAAGGGGCTGCAGGGCGTCCAGACGCTCTCTCACTCTTGACCCCCTCGCACCCTGGATACCACCCATGGCACCCCCACAGCCCTCCCCAGAGGAGTCGTGAAGGCCTCGGAGGCAGCAGAGTGGGGAAGGGAATGAGCCTGGTGGCTGGGGTTCCCGAGTTTTGCCCTTCCTGGCGGTGTGACCACAGACAAGGTCCTCGGCCGCTCTGCGCCTTCTTCCTCGTCTATGGGATATGGAGAACGAGGGCCCTGCCTCCTGTCTGTTGGTGGGAAGATGAAATGACATGGCCTGAGCACCTGTCACTGCAGGTCACCGCAGGGACTCATACCAGGTGACAACCAGGAGTGGCGGCAGTGCTCCACGGGATAGCCCACAGGGGCGGCACTCGCTCACGTCCGGAGGCCTCCCCTGTACACGCTGGGCTCGCGTGTGTGCCTGCGATCGAGCTGGCTGGCACTGGGGTCACGACGCGAAGACCTGCCGGGTGCTTACTTCTTGGTCTCTCTCAGGAAAGAAGGAAACAAACAGGGAGGAGAGGTTCCATTGATTTTATGGCCACAGGAGCTGCCCCCGGCCTGTACTTAAAGGATGGAGAGCTTGTGGCCACCCCTGCCCAGCAGGGCCGGCATCCTTGGAGGAGCCTCGCGCTGAACAAGTCACTGCCTTGGCGTGTCGGGGGCCGGTGGCTCCGGGATCCCGGTTTTCACTCCGTGCTTCTAGCTCCTGGAGCCTGAGTGAACACGAGTTGCCAGGGCCGGATCACCTCAGGTGGGAGGTCCGTCTTTTTGCAAGGGGGTTGGGCAGCATGGCAACGTGTGGAACGACAACTCAGACACACCGCCCAACACCTCCCAATTCCAGAAAATGCACGGCTCCATGGACTGGCTGCACTCTGCCCAGCTGGCAGAGCCAGCGTGCCAGGCCGAGCAGACTTGGCCTCCTGCCTCCCACAGACATTCACCCGGGCCTGCTCACGCCAGCATGCGAGCCCAGCTACACCACAACGCTGGGGGAGGGAGAGGAAAGCGCTCAGGAGGGAGGGAAGAGGGGCAGCCTGGCTGGAGAGGGCTGCGGGAGAGCCAGGAGAGTCCCCACATGAGCCTGTCCCTTGGGTATCCTCGCCCCCCCCCAAGGTCACAAACGGCTCTGCCCCTAGACAAGGGTCAGACTGAGGAGAGAAGTTGAGCCTGGACCCCGACCAGGTCACGCGGCCATACCTCGGGCAGCGGGTTCTCGGACCAGACAGAGGAGTACTCGGAAACGAGTGCAATGAGCTCACAGAGCCTGGGATCAGGGCAGGGAGGCAGGGAGGCAGGGAGGCAGCGGGCAGGGATGTGGCAGGAGAGAGGCCAGGAGCCAGACAATTCGGAAGCTGGCTGATGGGGTCTCAGGGTTCATCCTGTGAGCTCTGTCCTCGCAGACAGCCGCAGTCTCCACGGCACGTCGTAACAAACGCAAAGCTAAGAATGAAAGCACAGCCTGGCCCCAGCTGCAGCCCACTGCCCGGGGGTAGAGGCTTCACGCACTGGGAGCCCTTACGCCTAAGGCAGTCAGGGACCAGCCTGCGGCCTAGTCACCCGAGTGACCACACTGGAGACGGAGTGAGGCCCGTGAGAAGACTCCTGCACTGTGACATGCTTCGCACACCGAACACCCACAACCAGCTCCCAGATCTGGCAGGAGCTGCAGCCCCCCAGAGCTTCCTGGTGCCTTCCCGACCTCGGCCCTCTCCAGCGTCCCCACTAGGCTGGCTCGTTGCACTGGCTGATTCTGCCTGTTCTTGAACTCTCTGGACTCTGCGTCTGCAAGTCTGGCGGTACTTGCAGCCCCAACAGAATAGCCGTTTTCTACTTCCTGGCAGGAGCCAACTCCCTGAGGCCAGCCTGCCATAAGCCAGAGAAAATGTTTGTCCTGCTAAACAAACAGCCGTTCCCCATGGCAACGGCTGGGTAACCAAGGAAAACGTGACCGCTAGGGGAGGAGGGCCCAGGAGAGGCATTGTCTGGGCCTTGCTAGGGCTCCTTCCACAGCTCTCCACGCAGCTCTAACGCCATGGGGTGACACACACCGGTCTAGGGCAGTCACCGTGTGTGAGAGCCCACTCCTGGCTCGGTGCTCAGGGAACGGGCTGCTCCGGGTCAGAGGGTTCTAGGAAGCAGAGGGATCTGTTCCTCCGGGACCCGAGCTGTTCTTATGTTACCAGGTTTCTGATCTCTTTCTCCTGGAAGAGCAGCTTATGATTTCTCTCTGTCACCTCCAGGAAAAGCACGGGGAAGCCTTCCAGGCAGGCGAGGCTCGGGGCCACAGCCCACTCACTGTTTCCGCCTTGGCCTGTACCTGGACGTGCAGGAACACTTGTTACAAAGCCATCTACAGTGAAAGTGGAGAGTTGAAGCAAGGGCTCAAGTCCCCAGAGGGAAGCGCCAGGGCTTAGGGAACGGGCCCCGCAGAGGCCCCTGGGTCGGCAGGTGACCCAGCGTCCGCAGAGCTGCAGGTCACGCTAGTTCTGCTGGAGATGGTAGCTTTGAGAAGGTAAGTGCCACGCCAGTGCAGCTCTTTCTTCGGGACTGACTGCTGAGTGGCTCCGCCCTGTGGCGGCTAGGGCCTGGAGTGACATCATCATTGCAAGCAGAAGCGTGCCTCCCCACATTTTTTAGAGAGCCAAGTGTGCTTAAGATGCGGAGGCGAGGCGCCTGCCCTTTCCCCCTGTGCAGAGTGGGCATGCCTCACTGGGGGCTCTTCGCGACCCCAGGCGGGAGCACTCCCATCCCTGTGCAGGGCCTGGGAAAAGCTACCAGAACAACAGGAACCCCAAGTCCCGCAGCTGAAGTGGCTCTCGAAGATCGCCTAATCTGAGCCCCTCCACACAGACAAGGACACTGAGGCCCAGAGCAGATGCTGAGTCTCCCAGGAACAGCCGGCTTGTGGGCTCAGGGACTCCCCCGCCCCCAGTGCACTGGCCTCCACCGAAAGCCAGGGCTGTGTTAGCTCTGTACCAATGAATCACACCAAGCTGATGGTGACAGCTAGCGGCAAACACCCACAGTCCCACGCCCGCGCTGGCACGTCACACAGCTTCCACCTAGAGGAGCCCCACTCTGCATCACACTCCACACCTTACAGAAAGCCAGCAGCCGTGTGTGTACACACTCAGTGCCCACTTAGAGCCTTCCGGGGTACCACTCTCTCCTCACCCAGACCCAGCCTGGGACCGGGAACCACCCTCGGGTGGGCTAGGTGGGGTGTCCCCTCTGAAGCCAAGGAGGCCAGTGTCCATGCTGAGCCAGACATGGGAGTGGGCAGGAGTCCTTTCGGGGCTTCGGCTGTGGTGCCAAGGTTCTTGACATCTCCTAAATTCCAGCCACTTGGGATTCAACACCCTATTCCATGCCTCCACTGAATCTCTGAAGGTCTAACCCAGGGAGATGCAAAGACCCCAGAGGTTTCCAGGGTGCCTCTGGCTCCGTTGCTCTGAGTATGAACCAGCTTCCACACTAGCTCCTGTGTCTGGGTCACAAACACAGGCAACCAGCCTGCCATCCCTGGCCCTGGCCTTCCAGGAGCTGGAACAGGCCTCTCCCATCCGCTGGCCCACTGGGGACTTGGCAGCCCAGGCCCACCCAGAGGGTGGTATGAAAGTGGCCTTCCCCTTCTGTCCATCCTGGAGGGAAGGAATGGATGCTGGGTAGTTCAGGGCCGAAGGGGGCGTACCAGGTGCCCTCCTGCCCTCAGGGCCCACGCCTGGCAGAGGAGTGTCATCTCTGCTCACAGCACTCCAGCCCAGCCGTGGGCTGCTCGGGAAACGTCCTAGTGCAGTGCTCATCCTGCGGGTGGAACAGAAAGCCGGCCCCCAGGAGCCCTCCAGGACAGCGCACTGACCCTCAGTTCCCTTGGCCTTACCCTTGGCGGGGCGAGTGGGGGGGTGAGGATCTGTAAAAGACAATGGTTTAAAGAAGGACATCCGATGCAGCAGCCACCCAGGAGCCCTGTGACCTTACACAAGTTGCTTCGCTTCTCTGGTCCTCAGTTCTCCGTCTGCAAAATGGGCCACTAGGGCTCTTCCGCAGAGTTCCGGGCGGGCGGTCAGCGACTGAAGACGCCTGCACACACCCCTCCTCGCGCCCGCTTTCGAGCGGAGAACCAGGCAGAGGCCCCGAGATCTCTCGGTCGCGCTTCCGCCGCCCGGAGGAGTCCGGCGCGCGGGACCGGCACCTACTCGCCCTGAGGCCCCCCGGCGGCGGTTACGTAAGCGGCGAGCCCGACTGCCAGCCCTGGCTCGGCGCCCGGCCCGGGGCGCCGGGCTACTTACCGCCCAGTCACGTCCTCGTTTGCCC